GTTAAAAGAAAGATATGTGAGGTGAGAGAAAAATATATGGCTGTCCCCCGATGAGGAGAAGGCAGCTTTTCAAAAAAAAAAAAAAAAAAAAAAAAGGAACAGGTCATGCCTTTTGTCTGACTGTTGTATTGAGACCGGAACGAAAAGTAAAATGCGGATTTAAAGATTTTTGCCGTGCTACTTGATGTCCTGCACCCAGACATCCGGGACCCGAGCTATTCGGGATTACTCTCCTCTCCCTCCCTCCCCCCCCACCTCCCAACTGACTCTGAATGCACAGCGACTTCATGTGCTTCCTTCTTTTTATTTATTTTAATATATGTGTATATATGTGTTTTCCCTCTGTGAGTGTGCCCTGTGTGAGGAGAGAGCACCAATGATGAATGGATGGACCGGATATTTGTGCGAGTGTGGCCTGTGTGCAAGGGTCTGGCTGAAAAATTCCTATGCAGCCGTGACGACAGCCTGGCTGAGTGTGGTGCGCCCTTAGAATGGAAGGAGTGTTGTCTTTGGGAAGGGGAGGGGAAAACGAACAAACGGAGTGGGTGAGTGAGGTCTGACCAACCCGTGCAATGCCTGCAATTTTTTTTCCAGCCAGACTAATGTAAATTTTTGCATGGATGATTGCCCGCAAGACTCGATTACTTTTCTTTGGGAGGGGGCAGGGGGAGGTCGGTGGCTGTGAACGTTGTAAAGAAGGCATTCTTCTGAGCCGGAGCCCTCAGTTGCAAGTTTGACCCCCTCTGTGCCATTTTCTGACCCCTGCTCCCCCTGCTCCCCCTGCTCCCCCGGCCCCCCCTGCCCAATTCTTCTTCTTGAGCCCTTTCTGGCCAATACAGGGAATAACGTAATACATATTGCAGAAGCCTCCAAGCTCTGTAACCAGGGCTACCGTCTTCCCCCGAACACAAAGCACCCTCGTTTTGACTGTATCAGGCCGGAAACATGCCTTGTATACTTCATTTTCAGGGTGCGTTATGTTCCGGGGAGGACGGTATCACGAACCCGAGTCCTTGAGCAGACCCATATACGAACAGTATCCGGATGTGGACCAGAACGGCTGTTGTCCAGACTTTTTGACTGGGCATGTCAGGTGACATTGGCAGGTTTGTTAAAATCCTACAAAGAGGGGTGGCGAGGTGGCCCCTCCTGACATTATTGTGACCTTTTGGTCTGATCAGGGTTTGAACCCGTGTCTGTTTATTCACAGTTGGAGGTGTGCAGTACTCCCTACCATTCAGCCTCATGAGCTGCACGGTAACCCCGGGGAGCCCCTGACATTGTTGTGACCTTTTGGTCTGATCAGGGTTCGAACTCATGTCTGTTTATTCACAGTTGGAGGTGTGCAGTACTCGCTACCATTCAGCCTCATGAGCTGTGCGATAACCCTGGTTTGCGTTTTTCTTCCGGTGCTGTAAAGGCCAATATCATAATCTTTTCCCCTTGTCTGATCTTAAGAGCCAGGCTCTTCACCCTACTTAGCTTACCTCAGTGTGGTCTGTTTGTGTGTGTGTTTCCTTTTTCCCAGGTTTTGCTTGAGCTTGCGAAAGCAAGGAACTCCATCCCGCTTCCTATTATTACACAATCTCCTGGGATTCCTCTGCCGCCGGAACAAGACACTCTTCTCACTCCTAATTACCAGATCCTGACTGTTGGGAAGCCAGGTCAGCAAGAGGGGAAGCCAGCTCCACAAACGGTAGCAGAGAATGATGGGAAGGAGAGCGCGGAGTCCCAGGGGGAGGGTGATGCTGTGCGAGCGACAGGTGGCAGCACCCCGATGGAGGTGGATGACAGGGGACCACCAGGGAATGACCATGAAGCAGCCGAAGGCGGCGGGAAGAAGGTCTCTTTCATGGTTGGCAAAAGACAAAAGTCCTGATGTCAACGCTGATGAACCGCTACAGCTACAGCTACAGCTACGATGGATGGCCTGCATGAACGGACATGTACCCTGACAATGCTGCACAAGCGAGGCTTGTGAGAGAGCACCCGCAAGAAGCAACGAGGGTGACGACAGCCACCGATTGAGAGAGATCAGAATCCCTGTCAACTGTCTGATGTCTCCCGTGCACGATGCAACACAGTGCTTGCACAACAGAGATAGGGGGCGGAGGCCGAGGCCTCCGCCCCCAATAGCCACCAGGAACCAGAAGTCTATACACAGATGGGGCGCTCGCAACTGCATTTTCTTTTGGGGCAGGTGCAGGGGTGCTTCAGCACAGATGGGGCACTGCGCGACTGCAGTTTCTTTTGGGGCAGGTGCAGCGGTGCTTCAGCACAGACGGGGCACTCGCGACTGCAGTTTCTTTTGGTGCGGATACAGTCCTGAGCATAATTTCCCCCCCCTCACCTGCTGCTCGTCTGCATGCGCTGACAAGTGTGTAACAATGCGTAGGTTGTTTTGTGCATAATTTTCCTCGCATGCAGACAGCTCCAGTGCATGCTGCGAGGAGTGTGTGCTGCTGTGAGGAGTGTGTGCTGCTGCGAGGAGTGTGTGCTGCTGCGAGGAGTGTGTGCTGGTTCCATCAGGATTGAAACTCATCACCTCCTTGCTAACAGTGGCATGTGTGTTCCCATTCAGGCACATGGGCCAGGTACTGACTGACGAGTGCGTGTGTTATTACGAGTTAACAGCGTGCGAGCATTGAGAGTTTTGGCTGGCAACTTCTAGTGCTCAGTCTCTGAGGGTCCTGCATCTACCTGCATCTACTGACTGACTAAGTTCATTCAACCGGGCATCATGTGCTGGGCACATTGCACAGTGTATTTGTGCGCATCTTTCAGAGGTCTTGCTTGTTATGTTCCTGATGAATATATTTGGTGCATCTGCAGAGTTCACTCAGCAGGCATCATGTGGGGTGTGCAGCGAGTTGTGCGCAACTTCAGCTGTCTCGACACCGCATCCTTGGGTGCACTGGTGAGGTGGGCTGGGCCGTCGGACTGTTGAGTGCTGGGAACACCTGATGACTGTGCAATGCAGCACACTTCTCAATTCGTATGGATGGCCTTCTGCGAGACCCTTGTCAAGAGCCAGCAAGTGACAATTTAAAAGAAGTGTCGTACATCACAATACAAATGGCACGCGGATGCACATTTCTGGACTTGGAGTTTGTGCCTCGTCTCACCATCATGCGAATGGCTTGCTGGGCATAATGAGAAGAGTTTGTCTTGGCTGCTGGGGAATCTTAGTCCTCTATTAAGTCAAGAGTGGTTGAACTTGGGTGGTGTAGGGATTTCAGGAATGATTTCACAAAGCAAGTTGCTGCCAAATAGCGGCCCCATTGCAAGAGCTGCCCCCTCCCCCCCCCCCCCCCCCCCCCCCCCCCCCCCCCCCCCCCCCCCCCCCCCCCCCCCCCCCCCCCACACACACACACCAAACACCACCACCAGCCGCATGCCTGCGTGGAACACACATACATGCACCATGTTGGTAACGAAGAGATAACACACACTTCCATCCCCGGTGCGTCCCATAACCGTTAGGCTTGTTGGAAAGCATTTGAACTGCTTTGCAGTGGTGGAAGCCTAACCTCCTCCCCCGAACAGAAAGCAGCCTCATCATTGCTGTTTTGGGCTGAGAAGATGGCTCGTACACATGCACGATCCAGGTGCATTATGTGTGAGGGAAGACGGTAGCCCATGGCTATGTGGGATGAGCAGGGCTGAAGCATAGGCCACTGGAACTGCTCTGCAGTGACTGAAGTTCAGGCCATGGTGATCCGGCTGCTTTCTCACACACTGGAGCCTTGAAGCGCACGAGTCTCTAATGGAGTGACCGAGAGAGAGACAGTGGAATTGTGAGTCTCTATTGGAGCGACAGAGAGAGACACAGTGACATTGTGACATGCGTGTCATGGTGGCAGTGAAGGACAGACAGCAGCCTGGGGTCATGAGCACAGGCTCTGGAGCAACATATCACAGGCAGGATGGTTCGTTCCATTCCCATTTGCTGGTGATACAGGCAGCACACGCTGGATTAGCAATTTTTTGGGGAGCCATATCGAGCTCGAGGTTACTTCATGTGCAGCAGGACAGTGGCTGCCTGCCAATATGCCTGAAGATGAGCATGCCTGGTAACCAGGATCATCATCAAATTTTGCACAGAGATGATCGAATCGCTCCAGCTGAAGTGATGTATGCCGCCGGATATGGCAGGCACCCCAAGCATCTACCAACCCGAATCTGATTGGTTGTCAGCAGCAGCTTGACACACAAACGTGACGTCTTTGGAGTGCACTGAATTGTGCAGTCTACGGGAAATCCCATTTTGGGTGCCCCCATAGAAACTGTGTAGGTCCTGCGTGAAATAAACAATTCTACAGTCCCCCTCCCCCTCCCCCTTCCCCTCCCCCTCCCCCTACCCTTCTCTCTGCTCGGTCCGGTTGAGCTTCCCCCGCTGCTGTGTAAAATAAACAGTACTACAGTCACATTTCCCTCCTCCTGCCCCTCACCTTCCCCCGTCCCTCACCTGCCCTGCTTCCCCCCTCTTTTCGCTCCGCTGGGCCTTAAGGCCCTCAACTGGTCCGTCTGGCTGTGTTCAGCATGTCTCAATTTCAGGATGTGCGTGGATCATCGGGAATTGGCTTCATCGGTCCGTATCGGTCCAAATCTGTCCGTTCAGATCCACCCACATGTGAATTGCCCCCTCTTGCGATAACCCCAGCCCCCCAGCCCCCCAGCCCCCCAGCCCACCCTCTCTCACGACCTCTGGTGCTGGGCAGTCCTCTCCCATGGCACCTTGTCTTCTAAGAAATGGTCACACAATCAAACTCGGAGATAGCTGGTTTTGCGCGAAATCTATTGAGGTAGAACGTGTGATCTTCATTGCAAGAGGTAGAGCACTCGATGGGCTAGGGTGGCCCAAAGCTTGACCAACCCCAAGGAAACTCCGAATACTTGCAACTGAGCATCGCGCAGACAGACTTTGACCTGTGTAGACTTATAGCATTGGCAGTCGTCAAGTACACTCATGATGGTGAAGTTGATGATTTCTTCAAGTTCCCTGCCATGCTGATCTGGAACCTGAACCTAGAGTAATGGTATGCCGGAGTGGATATGTCTATCAGCCATCCATCTGGCCTCCTATAAGCTGAATGCGGTAGAAGCAAAGTGCTCAGGGGGTCACAAAAGTGTACATTTGTTCCGAAGTCAAGTCTCAACTCCTTCTCTACCTACCGGGTGCATGACCTTTCCTCCCCCCGCTGCAGTCTCCCTCCCCCAGGCTCTCGTTTCTTCGGGAGTCCCCAATGTCAACTCCTCCTTTTCCACCTACCTCGGGCATGTCTTTCCCTTCCCTGCCACTTTCTCCTTCCTCCTCCACACTCTCTTTTGCATGTACACTCTCCCATTTACACTCTCCCATCTACACTCTCTTTTGCATATACCCTCTCCCATTTACACAGTCCCGGGCACAATTTTGTCACGTCCGTACCTGTCATCAGTTTGTCATGTCAACAGCTATCCTCGTTGTGTGACGGCGTGTGCTGAAGCACACTGCTCATATGTGAATCCGCAACCTGTTTCGAGGTCGGAGCCAAGAGTGTCTCTCGTATCTGATCCACATGGTGGCACTCATGGAGTGCCCGTTCCTGTGTGCTCTCCACATAGTGACTTCCATTCCTGTGTGCCCTGCATTTCATCCACCTCCTGGTGCTCAGTTGGGCATCAACGATTCACCTGCTGCGCTGCTGTCTTCCCCCCAAATAGAGCGTACATTTAGCTGTATCGGAAGCAACTTTCAGTCCCGATACAGCGGTAATGACTGTACGTTGGATTTGCGTGAGGACCGTGGATGAGGTCTCATGCGCCAGCTAGTACACAGGATACGGCCCCAGGCATTCCGGGATTTGTTTCAAACTGCAAATGGCCCGCTGTATAGGAAGGTTGGTGATCTCGATAGCATCTGCTCTGGATCCTTTTTTTTTTTTTTTCTTTCGAAAAAATTCCCTCGCCAGTGTTAGTGCTGCTGATAAGAGCAGACACCACTAACACCCACAGGGAGGCTCCATCTATTGGTGGGGAGCATCACCTGCTGGAAAACGGGTCCATCGTTTCTCAATATCTGCTCTGGATCCTGCTGTTATGATAATAACAAAATCATCAGCATATCTTTACATAGAAGAGTCTTTCGAAACCCGGATCCATTGGATCTGAGGAAGTCTTCCATAGGGTTCGTCGGATGCCGTTTTTTGTCGTTTGAAGAGCGGAGGCTCTTATGATCGCCTCGCCGCTCGGTCTTCGACGGGGAGTGTCCGTGTTGAATTTGGCTTTGTTGAGGGTCAAAGAGGCGAATTTGATAACGTGATTATCTCCCTGACCTGTGTGGTTTGGCTGCCATGGATACATGTCTGTGCGCCTATGGCTATCCCATGGATGAGGCATCCGACTTCTGGTTGATGTTGACCTTCTAGCCTCCAGGCAGACAGGTTTGGGGCGGTTCGGAGAGATTTGCTTTGCTTTTGCTTGTTTCGGGGCTCTGCTGTTTTACCTGACAATGAGGTCTTACAATTGCGGTCCTGCAAGTTGCAATGAGAGACGCTGGCAACCGGAATTGTGTCATCCTCGTCCCGGCGAGTGTGGTGCTCCTCTGTCTCACATCTCTGGCATATCATCGTTCATGCTCGGATTCGTATTGATGGTTTCCTCAGCGATTAGACCGAGGATCGCTTGTTGCCCCCTCTGTGCTGGGGCAATACAGTGTTACTTTCCTTTTTTTTTTTTTTTTTTTTTTTTTTTTAACGCCCAAGTTGTTTTAGAGGTAGGGTATCAGGCACGGGAATTGGGAATACTCTCCGGGGGTCAGTCACTCGAAGTTCGGTATGAAGTTATGAGGCCAAGTGGACCTTCCTAGATGGAGTTCTCTACGGACTTAGAGCCCTATAGTCCTATTGCAACTCGTGTCCCTTCCACACCATGCAGCTTGCCACCAGAGAGCAGATTCTGTCCCTACAGATCCAACCTCCAACTGGATTTATTTATTGCGGGCCTACTCTAAGCAGACTTGTCCCCCAATCATTGACGTTGCAGATCCCTAGCCGATCCCCCCTCGGACAGGCGTAGAGGACCTGCCTCCCTCCTATTAATGTGCAGTACAACCCCCCCTTGATCCATCCATCCTAGCCACTACTCAGAAGACAGGCTCAGTACAAGTCCTACCTGGGCTACACTTTGTTGGTGTCCTCTCTACTAGTCCCTCCAGCCCCTATACCCATCTCATAGCCTACCCTTGCTTGGTCCCGGGGGGGGTCGAGGACCCCGATTTCGGGCCTATTAAGAGTACCCCATTGTCTATGCACTGGCCAGATACGACCAGCCAGCCAGGTGGTCCTAATGCATGAGACAAGCATCGACTCGCACCTGCTGGTCATCAGGCAGACCCTAACTACTTGGGACTACCCCAGGCAGTATTTCTACCTACGATGCGATTTCCCACCCACCCATGCGGTCTCCGCAGGTGGCCCATGAGGCCATTTTGTATGTGAGTCAACCAACTACTCTCCTCAAAGTTGTCAAAGGGTGAACTACCCATTAAGCAACCCGAACCATTCAGCCCTACCTAGTACCTACCACAAGGTTCCTGTACCCCCTCCCACACACCTTCCAGAGATGAGACACCCTTTTGACGCCCGTGGTTCGAGACACACGCGATGGGGAACACACCTAGACATACTACCATCCACTGTGCCACTCCCCTCCACTATGAAGGTTCCCCTCTAACCGGGAAACCCCACGGTACGCGCACGTCTAGACAGAGACCCCCCTAGGGAGAGGCAGGGAGTGCTTCACTTCTCCGTGACCGCCTGCTTCACACAGTCACACAGATTGCTGTTATGCTTACCTGATCTACCACTATTGTCTTTGCCAGTAGTTGAAATGTGTGACTGTGGTAACTCCAATGCAGTAACCACTCAAAACTCGAGTTACCACAGTCACACATTTCAACTACTGACAATGAGAGCCCATTGTGCCACTCAAAACTCAACACTGAAAGTTGAGAATGAAGCCAGGGATAGCCAAAGCAAAAAGTGTGGGAAGTTGACTCCAAGAGTGGCAGCTTCAGTTGTGGATCTGAAAGGACAGGCTTGGAGTTAGCGTAGTTAGGATTTTCGCAGAGGAGGGAGGCGAGAGCTGGCTGTGCAAAAGCCTGATCAGCCAGACAGATGGGCTATGGAAGGACTGCAGTACAGAGTCATCTTTATTACTCTCAAATAGTCTGATATGTAACATTCCTTGCCAGAAGGCCCAGAATGTGATACCGGGATTGGACAGGCATTAGGGCATTTTTGAGTAACAATGACAATTTAGAAGTCAGTTGAACATAACAAGGTGTAGCGCATCTGTTTTGGGTACAGAGGGTCATAGGTTCGAATCCTGTCACCTTGAGTCAAAATCAGAGTAAATTGACATGAAAATCAGTCGACCATTATCACCTCATATTACTATTTATAAACCACAATGAACTTCTACTTTGTCTATTTTTCGTAGAATTTGTGGTGCTTAATATATAGTGTGACACGGCTATGTCTTCCTGTGTCTCGGGGACTTGCATGGAGCAACAACACCTTTGTGGCAGGAATCGAAGGAGGTGGCCTGATGAGGGCTGAGTCATACTTGCATACCGCCATCCCTTTTGCTGTGCTGTTGTCAATTACCTGATATGCTTCCACAGATGTGAAGGGCGCTTGCTCCTACAGATGTCAAGGACGCTCGTAACGCACTGAGCAGAACATGGCATGGTGGTTTATCACATCTCTCTCTCTCTGCTTTATCACATCTCTCGATGTCAAGGACGCTCGTAACGCACTGAGCAGAACATGGCATGGTGGTTTATCACATCTCTCTCTCTCTGCTTTATCACATCTCTCTCTCTCTCTCTCTCTCTCTCTCTCTCTCTCTCTCTCTCTCTCTCTCTCTCTCTCTCTCTCTCTGTCTGTGGGTGTGTGTGGATGTGGGTGTGGGGTACCCACACCCGCCCACTTGCCTTGCGCTCTCTTACCCTTCTCCCTGGGTCGCTGAGTTCCCCAAAACCCCTGTGGTGGTTCACAAAGCACGCTTGTTGAATGATGTATGTCATGGGGATGCATGGGTGGGTGGGTGGGTGCGTGTGTGTGCGGGTGATGATGTGTGCGAAACAATCCTCAGCGGTAAAGCTGCAGACCAAGACATGGTTTCCCTTAGGTAGAGAGGTGACAAACTTGCAAATGCGGATCCCCAACGCTTCCTAACCCACTTTAGTATCGATCATATGACCCAGATGTTCCGGCCGTGGGGATTTATCAAGCTGAGTCTCTGGGCGGGGATTCAATGTGGGGTCGACGTTGAAAAATTCAACTCGCGTTGAGTCCTCGTGAAATTGCCGATAAAATAGGGTTTTTAGTACTTTTTACGGGTATTAGCGCCCCCCGCAGATTGCTGTGGGGGCCGTTTGGGGGAGGGTTCGGGCTGTTTTGGGATGGGGGTGGAGGAGAATGGAGGGGGAGGATGGAGGAGCAGGAGGAGGAGCCTGCAATGGGGGAGGGGGAGGAGGCGCCCATAATGGAGGACGAGGGGGACGCTATGATGGGGCACGCATGCACATGATGGTGACGACGATGAGAACCAAGAGGACGGCGATGGAGGAAGAGGAGGAAGGCCGAGGAGGGAGGAGGAGGAGAGAGGACAGTGATGACAATTGAGGAAGGAGAATGAAGGATGGAATGAGGGAGGAGGACATACACACACACGCACATGAGGTTGACACAAAAGGACGATGGATGGAGGAGGGAGGATCAAGGGAGGAGGAGAAGGGAGGAGGAGAAGGGAGGAGGAGAAGGGAGGATGGGCGGAGGAGGATGAGGGAGGACGACGGAGGACGCACACACACACACATGTGATGGCAAATAGGAGGACACTATACTCGAGCAGAGCGAGGAGGAGGATGGCTTTTTCCGAAATGTTTTTTATTCCGTCTCCGAATAAGAATAAAAAAGGCATGGAACACACAAACATCCCCGTTCAGATTCCAGCATGCGCACACAAACATGCAAATACTGGACACGGAATCAATCAAACATTCAATCCAATGAGAAAGCTGGGAATGGGTTGGGCTGCTTTGACGGGAGGGGGGAAGAGAGAGAGGGAGACGGAGAGAGAGAGAGAGATCCTCTGTCC